ATGCAAAGGGGTTAGAGAGCAATGCTGACTTGAGCCCTCTGCATATTACTAAGAAAAAAGCCTCCAAAACTGAAGTGAAGAAGGAAGCTTAGCATAGCTAAGTCACCTATCGCTACAAGAAAGGAGAAAAGCACTAGAGGAGGACAACATAAGGTAGAGGAAAGCAACACAAAGTGGGTCATCTTTAGTATTTTGGGAACTTGCCATGCAAGGTCGATAGTAGTTAAGAAGTCCCTTTAATCATGTTTATTGATTGTTCTTTGTGTTATGTTGACAATACTACTTTATAGGTATTTATTACTTTAATGACCGATTTTACTTATTTCACAGCAGAGAACAAAAATATTGTTAAAATTTAATTAAAATACTTAATAATCACAGCAACCAACCATAGTTGTTGCCAGGTGGTAGATTGGGCACAAGTGAAAAGTTAATTATTTACCAACTGAAGTTTTAAAACATTTACTGAAAAACTTAATAAAGAAACAGTGAAATATATGGTATGAACAGAGACAAACAATGTATACAAATCAAGAAATGTCAAAAAATTAAACTGAGTAATATTATGGAAACTCCTTTTTTTTTCCATTAGAACAAATCTCATTCAGTAGAGGCACATCATTCTTTTGTTTGTCAATTTGCACAGAGTTCATCAACTTTACAGAACATATCATTAAGGTCCCACCAAGACCACAGCTACCATTTGAGTGACCCAGTTTAACTCTGTTGTGCTCATGGGACTTAATTATGGCCTATCCAATTGCATGGTTCAAAGACTGGTTAAAATACAGGTAAGTTCCTTGTTTAAATGGTGTTGGGAAACATCAGTGTTTTTATTCTATTTATAGATTGGTGCTAAGACCCCATGTTTGCTTCAACAACAAAGATTAGTACTAAGAAAGAAATGCATCACTGATACAACACACATTATGCAAAAACACTTCAGGCTCCATATATGTCTCTCCAGAGGCTGGACCTCACTTCAGATGATGAGATGCAATGCCTCAATGGTGCTATCTGGGGACATTATATATCAAAGAACTCAATATCTCTTGGGTGTTTTGTGTAGGAGAGTAGTGCAGAGTGGCTATTGTTACACCTCCGTAAAGGTGCAGAAAGTGCTCCAGGACAGTCAAACAAATGTAAATATATTGAGAACAGCAACTTCCATGATGCACAGTGACTGCTTAGGAGGAGGGTGGACTGTAGTACCTCATGGGAGTCCTGCCAGAAAGTTTAGTCCATACAAAATGAAAGCATGAGGCAACAGATCTACAACTCACATGAGGCACTGCAGTTGGATTTCCACATCAAATATTCAGTTTCAGCTAAAAGTTCTGGGGGTTGGGCCAAAAAAAAAAATGTTTCTGATTTTTTCACTGAAACATTGAAATTTTCCACAGACAAAAACAAAAAACAAAAACAAACAAAAGCATTTTCTGACCAGCTCTGTGGGGTTAAACAAGTGGTATTTTTTTGGTTGTTGTTTCTTTTTGTTGTTTTTACCCTTTGTTTATTTCTTCACTTCCCAGTTTCAGAAATAAAAATATAGAAATAGCACCAGAAAAATCTACTTATACTGTACTGTATTTCCAGAATTACTATATGTCAATGAGGTGTGGATACTTATCTGAACATGGCTTGTTAGTCTGGTGATAAGTTTAGTTTTTTTCCCTCCTAGAAGTACATTTTTCCCCTCCAAGAGGCAAATTCCAGCTTTTACCTTTAATATTAATAAATGCTTGTCCAAGCCAAATTTCCAAATCTTTTAGGCCTCCCTTTGCCAACACTTACTGATTTCTACAGATTTTTGTAACAATTATAAATAAAAAATTATAGTTGATCATGATTCAATGAACACTTAGTATGCTAATGGATTTCAGGGAAACAGAATGCTATGGCTCAAATTCTGGCCTTGAACCTCAGTATAGCACTTAAGGGACACTCTCTGGAGCCAAATAGTATAATTATAAATAACAGATTTATTTATGTAACATCATTCCAGCTGTGAATCCTAGTGTGTCTCTTTCTCTTCATCATCTTCATTTTGCATGGAACATCGTCCTGCCCTTCAAGTTAATGAGAGGGTTATCACTTATTTTTACTATGATGTTTGGAAATTTAATTGGCTGTCTCCTTTATCACTATAAATCGATCTGGCCAAAAAACTGACCATGTTGCAAAAATTTTCAAACAAAATTTTTCCAGCGTTTTCATCAGAAAATGTTGGAATTTGAAAGTTTTCAACCAACTCAATATGTCTAGATTTCTCTTGCTCTAGGTTACAAAGTCTTAAGGAAAAGGAGTACTTGTGGCACCTTAGAGACTAACAAATTTATTTGAGCATGAGCTTTCATGAGCTACAGCACTCTGAAAGTCTTAAAACTGAATCTTAGAAAATGTGTGTCAGGGGACATCTTGTCATATAGCTCACTAATCAATAATTGTATCTTTTCCTTTCCAGACAGACGGTTCCTCACTGTGCGTTGTGATCCTATTGCTAACTTTGGGCCCAGTTCTGCATTATTGTCACACTTAAGTGCCTTTTAACTTCAACTGGATTTGTAGGTGCTTGGGAAATGCAGAATCTTAGGGAAGGTGCAATCGGAGCTTATTTTCCATTGTGAGGTAAAAAAGTAAACTAATGATGAAACTTTCTCTGGAAGTGGAGAGGCTGATGTTACAGTCATGAATCCCTGAACTATATTGTTCCATACAAAAGCACTAGGTAACAACAAAAGACAAGCACTTTAGCTACATTGATATTCAATGAATGTACTGACTACTTTGATGCAATTGTACAGTGTTCTTTAGTGTGTTACCTTTATCATGCTAAGGGCTGCATGAAAATGAAATGTCATACTTCAATACCCTTCTAGTCGGTCATATAGTTTATTTTCTTGTACTCCGATAGAGTTAACAAATTTAATGACTGTCCTTTATTGTTGTCTGTATTCTCTTTCAGCTTTGTATTCAGCTTTCTTTCTCTGATGGTTTGCAAGAAACGCTTCATCTTTCTATGGCAGACATAGTAGAAGGAGAAAAAGAAAGAGAGAAGAGGCTATTAGCTGTGATTTAGAAATGGATGTGGGGAAATCAGACCACTTTAATGGTCACAGAAAAAGTTTAATTGTTATTCTGCTGTGTATACGTTAGCCCCATTAGACATTTGCTGCCTGAATTAATTAAGTGGTTTAAATAGAAAAGTTTCAGAGGAACAGCTGTGTTAGTCTGTTTTCGCAAAAAGAAAAGGAGTACTTGTGGCACCTTAGAGACTAACCAATTTATTTGAGCATGAGCTTTCGTGAGCTACAGCTCACTTCATCAGATGCATACCGTGGAAACTGCAGCAGACTTTATATATACACAGAGAATATGAAACAATACCTCCTCCCACCCCACTGTCCTGCTGGTAACAGCTTATCTAAAGTGATCAACAGGTGGGCCATTTCCAGCACAAATCCAGGTTTTCTCACCCTCCACCCCCCCACACACAAATTCACTCTCCTGCTGGTGCTAGCCCATCCAAAGTGACAACTCTTTACATAATCAAGTCGGGCTATTCTGGTTTAACTTGGATTTAAACTTGGAGAGTGGTCAGTTTAGATGAGCTATTACCAGCAGGAGAGTGAGTTTGTGTGTGTATGGGGGTGGGGGGGATGTGAGAAAACCTGGATTTATGCAGGAAATAGCCCGACTTGATTATGTAAAGAGTTGTCACTTTGGATGGGCTAGCACCAGCAGGAGAGTGAATTTGTGTGGGGGGATGGAGGGTGAGAAAACCTGGATTTGTGCTGGAAATGGCCCACCTGTTGATCACTTTAGATAAGCTGTTACCAGCAGGACAGTGGGGTGGGAGGAGGTATTGTTTCATATTCTCTGTGTATATATAAAGTCTGCTGCAGTTTCCACGGTATGCATCTGATGAAGTGAGCTGTAGCTCACGAAAGCTCATGCTCAAATAAATTGGTTAGTCTCTAAGGTGCCACAAGTACTCCTTTTCTTTTTAAATAGAAAAGTTTATTATGATTCTTATTAGCTGCACTTCAAATTTTGTGGAAAAAAATATAATTTATACTTAATCAAAAAATAATAGGGTTATTTTCAAAGAATTGCTGATAAGAGAAGAATGATTTTTCAACTGATTAAAATATACAATGATGAATTCTTGCCTTTCTGTTTTGATGCCTGTGACTATAATTAAGAATGACTCTGTGGGTCTCTAAATGACAATGAAAATATCATTAATGGTGTGCTTTATTATGCAGTATAGGTTCTTTCCAGAATATTCATAAATGAGAATAAAGTGAAGCCATGTTAGAACAGAACTGAAAGTGCTTCAAAAATTACAAGTGCAAAGCAATATTAGGTTCACATGTATGATTCTGATAGATGTTGGGCCCTGCTCCTGTGAGGTGCTGAGCACTTCTAGTAAGTGAGGAGTATCCTTAACTCCCATTTATTTCAATGGGATTTAAGAGTGGTCAGCTCCTCTCAGGAGATGGCATGTTGCCTGATTTTGAGACTCAATTTAAATGTGTTGCATGTTTGTATTCCGATCAGTGGTCTGTCATAACTGCGGGGGGAAGAGATTATGTCTGGGTATTTCTGGTCCAATCAAATTGTTTAAATGTCAGTCATCTTTTCCAGAAAGGCAGGAACATCTTTAATTTTCCAGTAAAGTCAGAATATGTTTAGTAGCAACTTTTAGTGCCTTGGAGATTTAGAAGCATCAGTTTCTTGGACAGTAAAGCTCAAGGACTGCAAGTTTATTGAGACATCAACCTTATTTTTTTCATACTTCACTTATAACTTTTCAAACTTTAATTATTGTAACAGTGTATTAGAGTGAATTTTTGTTAATCTTTGAGAAAATTATTTCCAGTGTTGGATTATTTAAATAATACTGAATGTAGCACATTATTTACGAATAAACAACTGGAACTTTTAACAAGATGACATTTGCCCCCCCCCCGCCCCACCCCATCCCACCCCAATACCAAGTGACTCTCCTTGTTGCTGTTTTTCTGCATCCAGAGAAGGTATACATCAAAGTATAGCATGGCAGCTGAGAAGGACCATGAGATAGACTGTCAGCAGAGTTAATTGGATATCATATCCCATTCTTAGTACCTGTCATTAGAATGCAGGAACATAATGTCATTTTGTGTAGCCATTCAGATGCCAGGATTATAATAAAAGCAAAAAGTCACACCAAATGTATCCAATCTTCAGATTTTCAGCAGAACAGATTTCATGCTGATTTGCGTTCTCAATAGAATATTAAAGTTAGAACAGGCTCATCATGAGATTTTGAAATAGTTCAAATTTAACCCATTCTCGTGGCAAACATTGTGAAGAAACTGAAGAAGAGATCAGCATTATTTTAGAGTGAAGTAAAAAAAGAAACACTGCCGTGTTCCAGCGCAAAACGACAGCCTTATGATTAAGGCCCTAGACTAGATTTTAGAAGATCTGGTCCTGGCTCTGTCTCCAACTTCTCATCTGACCTGGGGCAAATTGTTTAATTTCTCTGTGCTTATTTCCCCACCTGTAAAATGGGGATAATAATGCTCCTTTTGTCCCTCTATTTGTCTGCTTCGTTTGTATGCTCTTCCAGACATATTTTATATGAGTCTGCACCGGGCCTTGCACAAAAGGCCCTTGCTCCTGGTTGAGACCTCTAAATACTACTCAAATATAAATAGTAACAACAACAATAAATATGGGCACACACACACAGCCAGATGTCATGAAAAGACTGCAAATGCAAAAGCATTCATATCTAACAGGAGCTCTTTTTTACTTATGAATTATATTGCACAGTAAATGGAATAAAAATCATGTATTCTCTTTTCCTCATTACAAGTTCAGGATTGAAATAATAAGATCATTTTTCAGTACTATGGCCCCAGTATTGTAAGCTGCCAAACTGCTTTATAATACAAACTAACTTCTAGCACTGTGACAGTCCCAAACCTTCTCTCTAAACAAGTCGTATTTAACTGAAGGGTAAAGTGACTTAGAGGTCATTATACTCCTTGGCATTTCCATTGGTAGCAAACATGCTATCACTCTCCATATTCATTATTTTAGCTAGCACATTGTTGACATTTACTATAGTAAACAAAACAACAGTAAAAAGTAAATATAATGAAAGGTACCAATCTAAAATAAGTAGAATGCCTAGTAACACGATATTTACAAAAAAGTGATTCATGTCTTTAAATGTTATTTACATAAAAGAAATATACCACTATCTCATTAAGCTAGCAATCTGCTGTTCTTTTTATTAACCAGAGAAAGACACTTACAAATATAACTGTTATTTTTTGAAACTATTAGATGAATTTGTTTCCTCCTACACTTCGTAAATATTGCAACCTGACACAGGGCCTGAACCAAAAGCCTACTGAAATCAATGGAAGGGCTCACTTAGACTTCAGTGAGCACTAGATGAGGTCTGTACCACAAATAACACTTTGAAAAGAGAATACTATTTAAAAAGCACACAGGGAATCTGGGGTCATCTATTTTTTTAGAGTCTGATCCTACAAGCCCTTGCTCACAGAAGTAGGGCTGCTTTAGTGAGTAAAGGTTTACAGGATTGGAGTCCTGTAATTGGACATTCATATTCGCTTTCTAATTCTGGGTATCTGATTGTAAATATTTTTGAATTTTTAAAGTAAGGTTAATTTAGGAATCAGCAGAGACTAGGAGTGATCCAGCAGTGTGCATTAATGCTACACTAATGAGATTTGTTTAAAGTTATATACATAGTACATACAAAATCTATGTTAAAAGAATTATATAGTTGCAAAGTGAAGCACTCAAAATTAGGGAAGGCTAGAATTAAGCTTGTCTGTGTAACCTTAATTCAGCCCCCATGTACATATGCATTATGATACCATTTGTAATCTGTATATGATGACATATTTTTTCCAAAGGTCCCCTTCTGCTCCTGTCCTCCCAGCTTGTTCTTGTTTTTCCTCTTATCATCTTCCTATCTCTCTCTTCTCTCAGCCCCTAGTCTGCACCTATTCCCCATTTGCTCCTCACCCCTCATCCTCTCCCCCCCTCCCCCCCAGCATTCAAGTCAGGTCCCTTCCTCTTTCTCATTCATGCTGCCTGAATGCCAGCAAACGGATAATTGAAAGCAGAGGGGAAAGTCTCTCTGCTTTCATTTACTGGGCCCAGCACCGCAGTGGTTTCTGGCAACCAGGACAAGGCATTGCAAGGAAAGTCCCTCTCTGCCCTTGCTGCCCTGTGCTGGAGTGTGCTCAGTGCAGACACATTCTTTGAAGACTGTCTGGCAGCCACTCACAAGCCTTAACTGAGTATGTGCAAACAGCATTTTTTCAGACAATTATAACTCAACCAGATTAGGTTGATTTTCACAGAGAAAGTGCAAGGCACCTCTTTGACCTCAGGTTGACCACCCTGCCAGATTTCAAGACCTTGCTATAAAATATGAAAGCCCTAGAATTGAGTTTCTCAGAACTAGGTGGTGATTCTGTTTTAAGCCCGAGCAAACCAGCATATTATTCCCTAAACTCGTTTTCAGAAAGAGTTTACCTGCTTTAGCTGAAATTTCCAAAAAATGTTTATCCTGAGCTGTCACTGCCAGATCTGCCTGTACCATGAGGGAGACTTGTGGCTAGCTCCATTCAAAATATAGGTTTCAGAGTAACAGCCGTGTTAGTCTGTATTCGCAAAAAGAAAAGGAGTACTTGTGGCACCTTAGAGACTAACCAATTTATTTGAGCATGAGCTTTCGTGAGCTACAGCTCACTTCATCGGATGCATACCGTGGAAACTGCAGAAGACATTATATACACACAGAGACCATGAAACAATACCTCCTCCCACCCCACTGTCCTGCTGGTAATAGCTTATCTAAAGTGATCATCAAGTTGGGCCATTTCCAGCACAAATCCAGGTTTTCTCACCCTCCCCCCCCCACAAACTCACTCTCCTGCTGGTAATAGCTCATCCAAAGTGACCACTCTCCCTACAATGTGCATGGTAATCAAGATAAGTAGCTTTGGAGTGGGATTTTCTAAAGTGTTCAGCAATGGCCCAATTCTGCTTCCGCTGAAGTCAATGTTAAAAGCTGGATTGATTTTGGGGGGGGTAGGGGTTGGAGTTTGGCGAATGCTGAATACTTTTGAAAACCCCATCCTTAAACACCAGGTGAATGTGCATTATCTGACAAAGACTATGGCCCTTTAGCCAATATAAATCACTGTCATGCCACTGAAGTAAGTAGTGCTGCACTGATTTACAATGGTTGAGGGTCTGGCTCAATAAATTTTAAAGTGATGTATGCTAAATTTCAGAGCAATATGAATATCTGAAATGTCCTCTTAATTTCTGAACAGCATTTCCAGAAAATCTTTCGTATTTTATGTTGTTACTAATAGGTCTGATATATTGTTAGCTTCACAAATATTTTAAAGCCAAATGAATAAATGTAAATTCTCACATTCTCAAGTATACCTTAACCAATAACTACTCCAGACTGACATCCTCATGTGGGCTTCTTAGCTAGATAAAAGTGTCTCCAGTGAAGAGTAAACAAACATCCTAACAAACCCCTAAGAAATACTGTAATTCCAAATTGATTTTTCAGTTACTCAACTGTTGCATCCATGGACTTTGATTGTCTCAGTCTAGAAAGCCTTAATTTACAATGCATATTCTTCCTTCTAAGCAAAAATATGTCAAGATGTGCTGAAGTCCATAATATAACTCTCAAGTTAAATGAATTAGTGAGGGGAAGGTTATTTTTCAACAGGCACAGCTGTATACAGTTCTGAGGATCATGGAAAAAGTTCTCTCCCCCTTCCACACTGTGCGCAATTTGCATATTCAGACCATAGCATTGCTCAATAGAACAAGGTTTTTTTTAATTAATCTATGTACAGAAGTAAATTAATAATTTAAACTAACAAATGTATTTGAACATATGTGAATTTATTTTAATTTTGTCCTGTGTTGTATTTCCTATCTAGCTTAGAGATTCTCACACACCAGTTTTGTGTAGTATACATGGCAAAAACATGTAACATGGTTTTCTCAATACATTATGTGAAAATGCAAGTTAGAACCGGTTTAGTATCTTAATTTGATAATGTAAGGGTAACCTTGCAGAAGTTTATGCAGTAAGGGTAAAAGTCTGGCCCCAATTAAGTCAAAGCTCCCATTCATTTAATTAGTGTTAGGTTTTCACCTCCGGTATTTAGAAAGATGATTTTGGTTATGGGGAAGAAAGATGAAAAAGGGAATGTACTGTTTTGGGTCTAAAACAGGACTGAGAAACAGAAAATCTGGTGTGACAGACACTGTAGCTCCATGAAATCTCTTTAGGGACCATTGTGTTATATATATTCTATATATGATTGTGTTTACTCCATGGGGGAGGGTTACCACAGCTCATACAGGAACAAAAAATGGGAAGAAGTGAGTACACCAGGGGTAGTGAACAACTCCAGAGATGCACCATCCTCTGGGGTGGTTTGCATATATTGGTTCAAGCTGGGTATTCCAGAGACTAGGAGACAAAGAAAGGGCTTTTGATATAAAAGGTAGAATTTAAATAGAATCATGGCCTTCCTTTTGATTCATCAAATGGACAGGACCTTTGATTCAACAAACAGACAGGACCTCCTAGGAAGGCTTCAACCCTTCTTGAATGGGCAATTTCTGGTACATTTAATAAGTATGTAAATCTGTTTTTTTGTTTTGTAGGTTTTCTCTGTATGCTGTATCATTAAGTAAATGTGTTTGCTTTGGAAGAGTTGGGTGGTCAGTGACAAAAAACACTGTCATTGTCATCAGAGAGAAACTAAAGAGCAGGGAGCTGGATATTTCTCAGACTTACTTGGGGCAATTACAGTAAAGAGCATGAGGCTGTAGCCTAAAGAATCCCACTCAGAAGGAAATGAGACTGGGGGCCCTGCTGAAAGAGAGGTTAAGGCTAGAGACTTGAGAATGCAGGAGCATTCCTGTAGTGGACCACTAGGGGTAAATGGGTACGGGGTTGGGGGACAAAGGTACCTTTACTCTTGAAACTTTGACATCTGAATCTAGCTTTTCCACAGACCTGTTGTGTGGTCTTGGGCAAGTTGCTC